CAGCTTCCTGCATACAGAGGGGGAGATGGCATCTCCTGGCAGGGGGTCCGAGGCGACAGACAGGACACCCCGTGAAGCCGTGGGGGGCGGAGAGAGCACGCGGCTCCAACCCAGCAGTGCCCTCAATTCAGCAGGCTGGGTGCTTGCTCATTTTAATTGGGGGCCACCAATGGTCTGGCGACAACTTGGTGAGGCCCTAAAACAGCAGGAGGAGGGACCCCAGTGGAACCCAACGCCCAGGCTCCGTGGGAGGCTGTGGGAATCAAATTGCTTTCTGGCCTCCAGCTGCCAGGCTGCCCCAGCTTCCCTGCAGGGTGAACGCCACCCGCTGGGCCAGGATGGAGGCAGAGGGGATTCACCTCTTGGCCTTCGTTCAGGACCTGTCTGGTGGTGGCTGTGCCCGGCTGAGAGCAGACGATGGGATTACACCTGACCCCCCCTCATGCCATCCTGACCCCAATCTACAAATGAGCAGACTGAGACTTGGACACTCAGCTGGGACGGCAGCCTGGAGTTTATCTGCAGAACCCACCCCACCACGCCACCACCCAGGGGACCACAAGTGACCACAGCCATGCAAGTCCTGAGGGCAGCCTTCACTCTGGCAATATGCCGGGGACGCCCGGTCAGGAACGAGCCACAGGACCAGATCTCCAAGATGGCACGACCCATTGGGGTGACCACCCTGTGCTGACAGCCTCGCCACTCTGGCCCAGCTCCTGGCACAGGAGCCCTGGCACCTGCAGCTCTGCCCAACTGGACAGAACCTGGCGCCAACCACCCTATCTGTGTAAAGGTTCTGGTAAAGAGACGAGGGCATCAGAGGTGGCCTGACCAGGACAATGACCTTTCCTGCACACTGCACGAAGTCCCGGTAATGCCCAGGCACCATGATGAAGGAGGGCAGGAGCTCTGTCCTGTCACCAGAGGCCTTACCCTTTCAGGGCGCATCACCCAGACAACCAGCAGCGAGATGCGGTGCCCTGCTCCACCTCCCTTGTCCCCAGTGCTTCGGGCATCCAGAAAAGGCATCAGGTGGGTTGAGGTGAGCAGAAGACAAAAGCTGGGCATATCCCGAACTGCGCTGTGAGTCCCCCGCACGCCCACGGCAGCCACACCGCTCTCAGCCACCTCCTGATGTGCGCCGGGCGCGGGGTGTCTCCACACCACCTGGTGAGCTGCAGTTTGCAGGCTACTCCTCACTCTCAGGCTTTAAATACCTCTGTGCCTACCCGTTCCCCTCCACACCTCCGCTTGTGAGTCACCGTCAGCCACCGCCACAACCCAGGGTGCTGGCATCTTAGAGAAGATCCGCGCTCGTAGCTCGGTGAAGAGGAAACCAAACCTTCTGGGTTCCCAATAGGACGGGGCCCTCTGAGGGGTTAAAGGTCACAGGTGGCACAGCCAACTCCGAGGGCAACGTGACTGCATGTGGGATTTGGGCACTTCTTTAAAATTAAGGTCATATGAGGTCACATGGACAGGCCCTACTCCAACAGGACAAGAGGACAGACACCCAAACTGAGTGAGGACACAGCGGGGAGGCCTCGGAAGACAGAAGCCCTGTGACACCTTCATCTTTGATTTCCAGCCTTAGAACTGGGAGAAAACACGTCTGTTGGCAAAGCCGCCCAGCCCATGGCATTCTTCAGCGCTGCCATGACAAGGGCCATGCAGATACAGGGCCACGGGAAGGCCTCGGCAGCTGTCAGCCCACAGGAAACGTTCTGGGCGGCTCCTGTCCTTGTCACTGCCAACTCCACTGACGTCCCCTGTCCGCTGTGTCAACCCCTTAGCACCTCAAGGGTTTACTTGAGGGTGGCAGTCCCTGGACAACGAGCCGCACTGGGACAGATGGGGTTCATACCACTGGTTTTGGAGAAGAGGCAGGAAGGGACGCTGCCCATCTCTGAAGAGCCTCTTCCGAGGCGGCTCCCAGGCCAGCAAAGGCCCCAGGGACCCAACACAGTTACGGGCACTGAGCTGCAAGATACAAAGCTGAACAGAACCAGGGCCCAGAGGCGATCAGAGGGCTGGAAGTGCAGCCACCACAGGCAGCAGATGGTGACACCGGAAGCCTCCTCAAGGCACCAGAGCTGAAGAGGGAGAGTGCTTAGCTCTGCCCAAGGAGGTGGAGCCGTCTGCAAGCTTCCAAGACAGAAGCGGAATTCATGAGCAGAGAGGTGCTGGGAAGACGCTCCAGACAGGCTCCCAGCAAGGTGAGAGGGTCAGGAATGCACGAGGCTCGCTGGCCTCAAAGCCACGTGATGCCACAGGCCGAGGCAGGAGACTGGACCGGTCAGGCAAGAAGACGCCAGGACGCACGACAACACACAGGCGACAAAGCCTGGCTGCACTGTCAGGATGGGAAGGCCCCAAGGAGCTCCAGGACAGGGAAATGACCAGGCTGCATTTGTGTCAGTCACTGCTCAGGTGGCAGCGATAGGGTAGGTCAGCGACAAAATCCAAGCATGAAATAAGTCCTGTGCTAGCCGAAAGGACGACTCTGAAACCTCTCTTTCTCTGAGAGAGGCAGGCCCTGCCCCTCTTCCCAGCCGTGCTCCACAGATTTACCCACACATTCTTGGATGTTTCGGCAAATGATCCTTGGGAATACAAAAAACAAGCAGGGCGTGGCAGCACACACCTGTGATCCCAGCATTCAGGAGGCTGAAGCAGGAGGATCACAAGTTCAAGCCCAAGCAAGGCTACATAACAAGACCCTGTCTCAAAAACAAACAAAGAAAACAGAGTCCACGCAAGAGTGGAAACTGAGGCACTGAGGCACTTGTGAAGAAAACACAACATCCCTGGCGGTTAGGAATGTATTTTTTTTGTTCTTAAGAAACAAACTAGGGCCAGGGATTTAGCCCAGTGGTGCCACTGCCTGCCTCACAAGCGCAAGGTCCTGAGTTTGATCCCCAGTACCAAAAAAAAGAAAAAAGAAAAGAAACTAAAATACACTGTCTTCAACTCTGGCAAGATAAGAAGAGCCCCGCTGGTGACACCGATCCGAGGTGAGCGTCACTGTGGCTCTGCCCCATTTCCTACTCACCAAGCCTCGCCACCAGTTCAGCCCGATCCTGACACATCCTGTCACTCTCCCCAGTCTGATCCCACAGGGGAGCCGGGCACCCCACCCCTGGGTTGCTGCTTTGCCGGGGTGTAACAGCGGCCCACACGCAGGACACACAGGCTGTCACGCAGAACCCCGAGGCTGGCTACCAGCAGCGCCCCTCAGGTCCTGTGCTCCAGCCGTGCACCCCCTACAGGCGGTGTCCTGTATCACCCTGACTTGGGCCGGTGCCGTGGGCGTCCGACCAGAGAGGCATCAGTGCCAGCGAGCCCTGTGACCCCGAACGGGCCACCTGATCTCCTAAGCTCACCCAGGCAACCTGCCCCTCTGTAAGTGCCGAAGGTAACCGTAATTCTACCTCGAGAGTGTGAGATGAGGTCAGAGATAAACGCTAAGAGCCCACTGTGCACCGGGCCTGGGATGGACCCAAGACGGCAAAAGATAAATAACAATTAACAAATGCTAAGCTAAGGGCTTGCACTCACATTTGTTCTAAATTTGTGAAGCAAAAAGGAGAAGGAGGCAATAGAGAGGGAGGAACAAAAAGAAAAAAAAGGGGAAAGGGGCAGAAACTCCAGAATCAATCCAGAGTTCAAAACTTCACTAGTCCACGTGCTGGCTGAGTGGCCTTGGGAAAGTTACTTAACCTCTCTGACCCACTGTTTCCTCCTCTGTAAAACAGGGACAATACTGCCTCCCTAGCAGGGGGATCCTATAAAGAAAACAGCTAAGAGCTGGAAACTGCAGCCACCATTTTCTAGGCCTTGAGCAGTAGCTGGGGAAAAATGGGTTTATGGTTGCCTTTGTTTTGTGTTTTTCCAGTCCTGGAGTTGAACCCAAGGCCTTTGCACTGAGCTACGCCCCCAGCCCTTTCTGACTTTTTAATTTTAAGACAGGGTCTCACTAAATCGCTACATTACCTATGATGGCTTCAAACTTCGATGCTCCTGCCTCGGCCTCCCATGGGATCCCAGTTGGGCACCACCAACGCCCGGCTTGGTTTATGTTTTGATCACTGCGTCGCCCAGAGGGCCTGTGTATAGGGACCGGGCACCTGCCACAGCTCCCTGGGAATATTGTTCCCCTTCATCCTGTCCCAGGGAGGCGGCGAGCTCCCGCCACCAGCTGTGTGCTCTCGGGAACAAAGGACACGGGGCGGCCAGGCTCCTGTCCCGCTGGTCCCGGGCGGGCGGCTCGCCTCCACCCTCAGAAGCACAGGACGGTGGTCTCTGTCTCCAAAGAGCCTCCAAGGAGCCGTCCCTGCCATTTGAAGACCCCTGAAAAAGCTGAGTTATTTTAAGCCTCTCCTGAGCAAACAAATGGCTTCGGGACAGGGCCCAGAAGGTTCCTAAAGGCCTCTCATTCTGCCAAGAACACACTTAACACATAAAACACCCCCAGCTTTCCACCTCTCCTGGGCCCGCTTTGTGCTAGGATCTGCTTCAGAAGAAGACAAAGCAAAACCCCAAAGCCTCAGATCAATGGATCCCAACCTTCGCCGCCCGCCCCCTCCACCCCATCCCGGCAGCAGGGCCGTGGAGGAACAGAAACAACAGTGCAGCTTCCTGCCAGGGCTTCGGACCGGGACAGACGGAGGCTGCTGCTGAAACTGGCTTCTTTTTTTAACCAGGAATGGGGCAGGGAAGCCAGCCAAGGAGCAGGTTGGCCCGAGGTCTCTGCCAAGCAGCCACGGAAAAAGCCAAGGTTGCTCAGTGAGAGGGAGGCTAGGGGCAGAGGGGAGCAAGATGACTGGGGACGCGCAGGGCCCTGGACACACCCCAGAGCTGGGCCTGTGGCAACACAGCCCACAAGAGTCCTTTCCGTGTCACCACCTGGGGACCCCGACATGGGGCCAGCGGACGGGGCCTGAAGCCCACACCACCTCTTGCCGCCTGCTGCAGCCCCCCACCAGCCCCCAGCTCACTTCTGCTCGGCAGCTCCTCGGGGCCTAGGCTGTCGGAGGGAGCCGCTGGGGCGCTGCCACCCTCATCCACAGTCAGGATGAGGGGCACGTCGTCATCCAAACTCACGGCCATGCTCGCCTCTCCTGCGGGCCTCAGGATGCGATGTCCAGGGCTTTAAACAGTCTCTGGTTTGAGCTCCTTGTCAAAGCCACTGGCCCAGCGGTGCTTCTCAGAAACTCCTCCATGAGGGCCATCTTCTAGGGTCGGGAGCACAAGAAACGAAAGACAATTATTAGAGCCCAACCACCACCGACGGGTACCTTCTGGAATAAGGTGGTGGTGATGGCTACACGGTCCTGCAAACCACCGAATTACATACATGCTTTTCAATCTTCTAGGGTGGGAACTAGACCTCTCTTTGAAAACAATGCTAACAAGCCAGGTGTGGTGCTGCACATCTGTCATCAACGTACTCTGGGAGGCAGAGGCAGGGGGGTGGCAAGTTCAATTAGTATCTTAGACAGGACCTGGTCTCAAAATAAAAAATAAAAAGGGGATGGGGATGTAGCTCAAAGCGAAGGCCTTGGGTTCTGTGTGCCCACTGCTTCTCAGCCTCTTGGCTGAGATCGAGTATCCGGGTTCAATCCTCAGTACCAAAAAATTTTTAAAAAGCGCCAACAGCGTTAACAGTGTTAAAATATGAGGGCAAGTGCAAGAACAGACACTGGAAAGTAACTGTGTCTGGCAAAGGAGATTAGAGCTATCATGTTCTATCTCCACCCTTCTTTTACACTATCTGTGGGCTCTGCAAAGCCACCAAAGAAAAATATATAAGGCAGTTAAAGTAACAGTAGTTGGTACTCACTGAGTGCTTGCTACATATCAGGGACTCTACTGGTGATTGTTTTTTTTCTACTTGAAATTTATAAGTAAAAGTTCATTAAAATCTCATAATAGCCCTACAGGATAGACTATAGAGGGAAAAGCCAGGCACAGAGAGGTTTAGTAATTTGCCAAAGAATACACAGCTAGACAGCCAAGCTTGGGACCTTGCAGTCTGGCACAGGGCCCGTGTTCCTGCTCATCCTCTACGTCCCCAACATCTTTATTCAAGCAGCACCCACCTTCAGGGACCACTAGGAAGCTAACACCCTGTATCATCCATGCTTCCCCACTTTTCAAAACAAAGACAACTTTCACTTTAGCTTCACTAAGTTATCTCTGAGGACCACACATAAACTCTCCAATGACAGATATTCCTGTGCAGGCACCATTCTCCTAGCTTTAGGTGCCTGAGGAGGGAAGGAGACAAAAATATATATTTTAAAAATAATGTCCAAGTGTTCATGTGTAACTCCCAATTTAAAACACTCAGAACTGGCCTGTTAGGGTTTCTATTTATACCTTCCCATTTCCGCCTAGGACCAAAAGAAATGAGACTCAGCAGATCTCCACAGAACTTTGAACTTGAAAACAGCAGCAGGTTCCTTCCTTCGGCTATGGTTTCTGTGCTCTACCAAGTTCACCTCCAAACGGACCTGCAGATCCTCAAGGAACTCGGGACCCCCTTGTGCACCGTTGGAGAACGGCACGTTTTTAAAAATGAGGCAGCAGATGCCAGAGATTTAGCTCAGTGGTTCCGCCGCCTTCCTCCCAACCACAAGGACCTGAGTTCGATCCCCGGTATCAAAAATAAATAAATAAATAAAGGGAGCAGAAATTAAACACTGTGCTGCTTGCTGCTAAGCCTGTAGCTCTCTGCCCAGTGAACTTCCTGTGAGAAGTTTTTTTTGTTTGTTTGTTTGGTTTTTTGAGACAGGGTCTCACTATGTAGTTGAGACTGACCTGGAACTCACTATGTAGCCCAGGCTGGTCTCGAACTCACAGCAATCCTTGTGCCTCAGCCTCCCAAGTGCTGGGATTACAGGCGTGCACCACCATGACCGGCCTTTGTGAGAAGTTTTTCATTTCCTCCAGATCTGAGGATTTATTTTGCTTTTCAATCCCATAGGGAGGGGGAGGCAGAAGAGGAAATCCCAGATGAGACACTACCACGCAGCTGTCCTAACATTTTTGGGGTTTGTTTTTCAGCTTAATCCTTTGCATCTTTCCAGTGCTGGAGATGGAACCCAGGGCCTCGCACACACTAAGCACAGGCACTACCTCCCCAGTCCAGGGTTTAACTTTTACCCCCAACATTTTCAAACATACTGAAGAGCAGAGACAATGTCTAAGTGAACTTGCACCCATCACGCAGCTTAGACACTGATCTCTCCCACATTTGTTCTGAAGGCTGGGGACTAAGAGGCTTGTAAATTTCGTCACTAGTCCCATAATAGCTGGTGGTCTTACAGATGACTGCTTGCTCATAAGCAGTGGCTGAGCTCAGTGGCTCCCAGTCAGGGTGATTCTGTCCCCAGGGGACCTTACTGTCTGGAGACATTCTGGTTGTCACAGATCGGGGTGACAGGTGAGACCCATACACCACAAAGGACGTGGCTCAAAACACCAACGGTCCTGTTGCTGAATCCTGTCTTGGTTAATGCCCCCCACCTTACAGAGCACCTTAGAGGCTTAGTGGTTAACTTGTGTCTTATAAATAAACAGCAAGGTAGAGAGGCCAGATTTCAACCCAGGCAGGCTGAATTCTGGGACTCTCCCTGCTAGACCATTACCCTGTAAGTACACCCTGAACCAGTTCCCCAATTTGAATCCAAACCCATCCTTTTACAGAAAGAAAAACGAGGCCCAGAGAGGTAAAGGGACTTGCCCAAGGTCACACCGCACAGGCACAGAGATAGAACTCAGAACTCCTGAGTCCTGGCCCTGGGCTCCTTCTGCAAGCGCTCCATCTTCCTCTTTGGAAGATCCAAAAGGTCACCCCTGGAGCAAGGTCCTGGGGACAGAGCGCTGGCTGCCACCACACCGCCGGCTGGGGCAGCATGACCCGGGCAGTCTCCTTTGGGGTCAGCCGAGGTCGCTGACGAGGTGACAGTGCGAGAGGGAGGCTGAGGCAGGAGGGCCGCCCCTGCTGCACGCGCTCCCCGATCTCATGGGGGCCCCACGTGGGGGTCGCCCAAGAAGCCAGGGGCGGGAAAAGGCGTGCACACCCCCGGCCCGGTCTGGGGGTCGAAACCCTGGGCAAAAACTTCCTGGCGAGCCCTCTGGGTCCACCCTTCTCGTCTCCCACACCTGGGGCTCAGCCGCAACCCCTTTGTCCCCGCTCTCTGACCCCTGGCCCCTGCCCCCTCCCCTCGGGCCAGCCCCTAGACCCCTTCGGATTCTTACACGCGCCGACCCAGAAACCCGGACCGCACACCGGAGTCAGCACACCACAGCACAGCCCGCTGGCGCCGCTGCCAAAGCCCCGAAACCGGAGTTGTTGCAGCCACTACAGCCGCCGACACTACAGTCGCTGCCGCCACGGCAGCTGCGCCAGCTCTCCAGTCCACCGACTAACTTCCCCTCCACCCCGCCGGCCCCGCCCCACTTCCCCTCCTCCTCGGCCCATTGGACATCTGGGCTGCTATGATGAGGTCTGATTGGTTAATTTCCATGTCCTTTCCTATTTCTCGATCATTGCTGATTGCAGGACTCCCTAAAAGAGGACGGGACTAAGAAGCTGCACCTCTTCCCTCCCTCCCATCCCTCTCTGTAATAGTTCAGTCCAACCCAGACAGAGTCTCGGGTCTTTTAATTGGAAGAATGTCAGAGGGACCGTCCTTCTGATTGGTCATAGTTCAGAAGGTGGAGCTAACGGAGCAAAATAAGAGGTTGAATGGTGAAAAGTAAAGTCAGTCAGACGCCGAGTCCCGCCCTCCAAGATTGGCGAGTAACCTAGCAACGCAAGGACAGAGAAACCTCTGTTGGAGAGGGATCCTCGAGCCTTCAGAGGAGGTGAGTAACAGGTGGGAAAGAGTTGAGGGTGAAGGAAATGTAGATTGAGGTCTAGCCCACGCTTCCTGGACTCTGCAAAACTCAGTAGCCCCCACCCGGATCCCATCCTAGTTTAGGATCTTGCTCCCAAGCCCCGGCGTCAGTCTGCCCTCCCACTCTGCAAAGCATCCTCTGTAGAGACCCCACCCCTATTCTGCCCTCTCCTCCTGTCCATTCCCTGGCCCCTCTTTCTCTCCTCTAAAGCGGATAAGCCCGGCGCCGTGGCACACGCCTGGAATCCCAGTACTCTGGTAGGCTGAGGCAGGAGAATCACAAGTTGGAGCCCAGCCTGGGCAACTTAGGGAGATCCTGTCTCAAAAAAAAGAAAAAAATCTAGCTCAATGTAAAAAGGCCCTGGTTCAATCCCTAATACCACAGTAAATAAATAAATAAATAGTAGTGATACCAATCAAGTAGAGGCCATCATTCATTTACTTGAAGTCAAACATAGATGTGAGGGCGAGAGAGTCGTTTCTAAGTAGCCACTTTCCTGCCCAATGTGAGCACGAAGCAGAAAGCATCTCACGTGAGTGGGTGCTTAGATTATTTTGATTATATGATTTTTGTCTTTGGTATTAACTTTAGAATTTAATTCCAATTTCTGTCCTTAAAATATAATCTCGTTTTCTTTTCTTTCTTTCTTTCTTTCTTTCTTTCTTTCTTTTCTTTCTTTCTTGAGACAAGTTCTCCCTATGTATTCACACTGGCCTTGAACTCACTATGTAGTCCATCCAGGCTGGCCTGGAACTTGCAGCGACTCTCCTGCCTCAGACTCCCAAATGCTAGGATTACAGGTGTGCGCCACCATGCTAGGCTTCTTTGTCTGCTCTTAAAACAAAGAGTTTCTTATGCAGATTACAAGAAACAAAGCTATGAAGTGGTTGGCACGGGAGCAGTGCTCAGAAAGTAGTGGCAATTTTGTTTTCCCTAAAACACATCCAACCTTGACTCTTCATGCTTAATACAGCGCCAAGAGGTGCCCTTGATCCGCACGTTAAATATTCATATATTCAGCGATATCTACGAGTGCCCATTAAGGATGGTTGGGGGAGCAATCAATAAAGGAAACCTCATCACTCCCATCATGGAGCCTGAGACTGGAGGAGCCATCAATGAAACAGTGTAGTACAGATGGGTGTAAAATCACACCATGGAAATCCACTTCCAGAATGATGACTTGAGCTGGATAGATCCTGTTCCGGTTTAGGTCTGAGGTGTCCCCCAGATCTCTTCTGTTTGGAAGGCGAATGCTTCAAGAGGCCACCAATTTGATGGTGTCACTGGGGCAACGCTGGCTGAAGGGAGTGGGTCCTGGGGGTGTGACCTTGGGGACGTATCTTGTTCCCAGCCCCTCCTTCTCTTGCTCCTTCCTTTTCTTTCTGCTTCCTGGCTGCCATGAGGTGAGCAGCTGTGCTCTACATCTGACCACCATGATGTCCTGCGTCCAAGCAATGGATATAGCCAACCACGGACTGAAATCTCTGAAACTGTGAGCCCAAATAAATCTTTCCTTCAAGTTGTTTTTCTTGGGCATTTTGTCATAGCAACAAAATCCTCTCCTAACAAATCCTCCTCAAAATGCAGTGCTGTCCATTGATGGATGAGTGGATAAACAAAATGTAGTCTCTGTCCATACCATGGAATATTATTCAGCCATAAAAACAAATGAAATTCTCGGCAGGCATGATAGTGCATACCTCTAATCTCAGCACTGGGGAGGGGCTGGTGGCTGAGGCAGGAGGACCAGTGCAAGCTTGAGGCCAGCCTGGGCTACATAGTGATTTCAAGGCCAGCCTGAACTACACAGCGAGATCCTGGGCCAAAAAAAAAAAAAAAAAAAAAAAAAAAAAAAAAAGAAAGAAAGAAATGTTGACATCCGCTACAACATAAATGATCCTTGAAAGCATTACGGAAAAGACACAAAATGACAAATATTGTCTGATATGAAGTAGCTGCAGTATTCCAATTCACAGAGACAGAAATTAGAATGGTGGCCACGAGGTGCCATGGGAAAGGGGAATGAGTGAGGAATGTTTGCTTAATGGGTACAGAGTTTCAGTTGGGAGTGATGAACACATTCTGGGGGTGGACAGTAATGACAGTTGTCCATAAATGTAATATTCTTAATGCTACTGAAGTGTAATCCTTTAAATAGTCTTAGTTCCTTTCTCATTCCTGAGACAAAATACCTGACACCCAGAAGTTAAAGGAGCAAACGTTTATTTTAGCTCACAGTGTGTAGAGGTTTCAGTCCATAGTCAGCTGGCTCCAACGCAGGGTGGCACGGCAGAGGGGCATCACAGAGGAGAAACGGTTCATGGCAGGCAGAAAGCAGCAAAGTGAAGCAGCAGCAGCCAGCCTCCCTTTCCCTTTTATCCCTTCTCAGCGATAAGCCTTTCGGGTGGTGCCACCCACACCCAGGGTGGGCCTTCCCATTATCCACAACTAAGTTCCATCCCCAGTATCCAAAAGAAAAAAGAAAAAAAAAATCAATGTAGTTGGGCAACATGGCACATACCTCTAATTCCAACACGTGGGAGGCTGAGACAGGAGCATCATCTTGAGTTCAAGGCAAGTATGGAAGACATAAGGAGAAGCTGTCTCAAAAAACCAAAACAAAACAACAAAAACTACAGACTGGCCGGTCGTGGTGGCGCACACCTGTAATCCCAGCACTCGGAAGGCTGAGGCAGGAGGATCGCTGTGAGTTTGAGACCAGCCTGGGCTCCATAGTGAGTTCCACATCAGTCTCAACCACATAGTGAGACCCTGTCTCAAAAAAACAAAACAAAACAAAACAAAAAACTACAGACTAGGGATCAGCAAACCACATCTCAAAGGTAAGATCTGACTTGCCTCCTGTTTCTATAAATAAAATTTTCTCAGAACACAGACATGCCAGTTTACCCACATACGCACATACACACACTGAGTATTCAACCAAGGGCCTTTGCACTGAGTTACATCCCTGCCCCCTTTTTAAATTTTTGAGATGCATTCTCCCTGAGTGGCTAAACTGCCCACTGTAGGCTCAGACTTGCAATTTTCTTGCCCAAGCCCGCCCAGAGAGCTAGGATTACAGACGTGCACCTTGTGTGTCATTTATGACTGTGTTCGTGCTACAGCAGCAGAGTTAAGCAGTTGCCAAAAAAAACGTTGTAGCCACAAAGCCAAATATATTTACTATTTGGCCCTATGTGGAAAAAAAACTTGCCAAGTCCTGCTACAGAAAAACATCCCTCAAGAAAATAGATGCATGGGTTGGGGATTTGGCTCAGTGGTTCTGCTGCCTGCCTTGAAAGCGCAAGGACCCAAGTTCGATCCCCAGTATCACATACAGGAAAAGATACAAAATATTGCCATACCAAATTCACCAACGTATAAAAAGGATTATACACCATGACCAAGTGAGATTTACTCCAGAAATGCAAGATTGGTTAAACATATGAAAAACAATGTAACATAGCGATTAATAGAAGCAGCAAGAAGGTGGAGGAAGTGGCGTGCTTGGGCATTGCTGGAGGGCACGTAAAACAGTCCAAGCGATTGGAACGATGGCTTGGCAGTTTCTGAAACAGTTCAACGTACATTCGCCCTCAGTTCCTCTCCTAGGAATGGACCCAAGAAAAATGCAGACCTAGCCACCCAAAGACCTATATGTGAATATTCTTAGCAGTATTCATCTTAACAGCCACAAACTGGAAAGAACCCAAGTGCCCCTCAACAAGTGAAAGAAGAATTGTAATTATTTCCATACCATGGAATATTATCTGCCCACAAAAAGCAAAACAATACTAATACATTCTGCAACACGGGTGAACCTCAGAAGTGTTATAGTAAGTTAGGGGGTCTTAACCACAGGTCTGTTGGCTTTTTTCTTTTTCTTTTCTTTCTTTCTTTCTTTTTTTTTTTTGTTTGTTTGTTTTTTGATACAGGGTCTCTTCAGGCTGGCTTTGAACTCACTATGTAGCCCATGTTGGCCTTGCATGCGTAGTGATCCTCCTGCCTCAGCCTCCTGAGTGCTGGAATTATAAGTGTGTGCCACCACACATGGCTTTCTGTTGACATTTTGGACCAAACAGTTCTGTTATGGGGGACCATCCTGCATCTTATATGACACAGTGGGGCCATGGACCTCTACCCACTAGATGCCAGCCGTTCCCTCTCCCAGTTGTGACGACCAGCTATGCCTCCATTTCACTGCCAGATATTTCCTAGAAGGTAACATTGCCCCTGGTTTAAAACTGCTCTGCTAAGCGAAGAGCCAAACTACATAATTCCGTGTATGTGATTTCACTTACCTGAAATAGAAACAGCCAGTGTGGGTGGGAGCAGAGGATGTTTGCAAATTAGCTCATGGGAATTTGAGGAAGTGATGTAAATGTTGTGCAAATGGACTGTGGTGATGTGGCATGATTACATACATTTATAAAAATGGGCTGGGCGTGATGGCTCAAGCCTATAAATCCCAGCACTTGGGAGGCTGAGGCGGGAGATCACCACAAGTTTGAGGTCAGCCTGGGCACGTAGTGAGTTCAAGGCCAGCCTGAACTACATAGCAAGACCTTGTCTCAAAAAAAAAAAAGTTTTTTTTAAATAGCCATGGAGTTGCATGCTTATACTGGATGTATTTTATGGTGATTAAATTATCCCTCGATGGAGCTATGAAAAATACCCATGTCCTGAGATCTCTGCAGGAAAGACATAGAGTCTGACCAGTGTACAGCGTGCTCTGTTCCGTCCTGGGGAAGGTCAGCCATGGAGCTGGCTTCTAACGGGCAGAAATTGCTCGTCCGGGTCTGGGTTGGTTTCTGGAAAGGAGCGTCCAGAGTGGCTCCACCTGGGGGAACAGGAGCGGGGGCCTCTCATCCTGCTCCTCTTCCGGCCTCTGCCCTCTGGGTAACGCCGCAGCCCCCCACGGCCGCCTCTGCCTGGGAACGGGCCTCGTCCTGAGCTCTGCCCGCTCCCTCACCCCGCTGGCCGCTGATTGTGCCTTCTCCCCATCTCTGCCACCCTGTGCTTCTCCGTAGCCACTGCCCTGTCCCTGGTGGGGCCACGCCCGTCTCTCCCCTGGCTCACTGGAGCCTGCCGAACCTGCCATCATGTCTGCCAGCGCTCCCACCTCGCCACCTTGTCCCCCACTCCCTCCAGCTCCGGTGCCCTCCCCCCAGCAGGGAGGGAGGTGGCCGTGCCCTTCACATCAGAGCGTCTGCTCCCCGGTCCATTGGGAAGGAAGTCAAGAGCAGCGATCCTAGCCAGGTTTGAACCCACCATTGCCTTTCCCAGGCCTACCTCCTCCCAGACCCCCGACAGCTGGGCCTCGAAGGCAGCAGCCACAGAGGCTGCAGAGGGAGAGAGAGGCAGGGCGGGCACCTGCAGCATCACAGGCCAGCCAGCACAGCTTTAGCTTAGGTCTAAACTCTGCCCCAGTGAACCCCTAAATTAGAGGGGCGAGTCCCCACTTGCTCCATTGCTGGGTTCCCACAAATTTCCCCTTGGGCCCAAGGAGAGAAGGGCTCAGGGCTGCAAGGCCAGCGCCACCTGCTCTGTACTTCAACGAAGGCCAAGAAGCCCTGACTTGAGGAGAGGGACGGGCTCTGGACTCTGCAGAGGGCTTTCCGGGCTCTCGGATCCTCCCTGTGCCCCAGCGCCTGGATGTGACTGGGACCCGCGGTGTGTCCAGACAGAAGGCAGGGAGCGTCAGCCCAGACTGAGATCCCCATCTTCCCTCAGGAGGGCGGTGACTTCGGACGGCACAGAAGTGGCTCCCAGGCAGGGCTGGGTTCCAGGGGGACGAGCCTGCTTCTGAAGCGGGGCGTGGACTGGGGCGCAGAAGGGAGTCCCACAGCCAAACGGACGGATGGCGCCGCTCAGCTGGGGTGACCTCCACCCACCGCGGTCCCCAACTTAGGGACGTCTGGTCACACCTGAATAATGCTGTGGAGGCCAGGGAGGCTGGCAAACATCCGGACACAGGGGCAGGGGCACCACACGAGTGACCTGGCCCGCAGTGTCAGGAGTGCGCGTGCTGAGAACCCCGGCCACCTGATGGCATTTTCGTGCAAGCAAATGCTACCCGCCTGTGTGCGCGCAGGCACCAGCTGATGGAAAGTCAAAGCGATTAAAAATCAGGAGCATTTGAAATACAGGCAAACAGAGCGTCAGGTAAAATATATATATATATCTTTTTAACCTTAGCTTTCACAGTACAGCAGCAGGTCCTATCCTACGGCCAATCGAGTGCCTTTGTCACAGGAACTTTCAAACACAGGTTGTTCGTTTAACTACAAACCAAAGAAATGCATTTTCCTTCTCAGCCCAGCACACGTGTTTAATTACAAAAGAATTCTGTAGGCTGAAAGCAGAGCTCAGTGAGAGAGTTCGTGCTTAGCATGCGTGAGGGCCGGGGTTCAATTCCCAGCTCTGAAAAAACAAGACCTGTACTTACTACGTGTGCTGCACTCTGACAATTTCCATTGTATTTTGTTTACTTGCAATGCTAGTTGCAACTGGTAAATTGATTTTACCACCCACTAAAATGTTAGAACCTTAAGATTTTATTTTCTTAGAGCAGTTTTTTTTTATTTAATTTTATTTTTGAGACAGGTGTAGGGAACAGGGAAAGGGGACATTAGTAGACCTCTGCATCAGGTCCTAGCCTCCTGCCAGCCACGACAGCACAAGGTGAATTAATTAATTAATATATAGACAGAAAATGAGACTTGGAGAAGAAGCTGAGCTCTGCCCTGATCCATGCTGCTCTGTGTGGCAAAGACCCCAGACCCCAAGCTTGCCACACCTTTATTCAGAGCATCAGCAGAGACAGAAGTAGCAAACAACTGAGAGGAACTATGCTATAAAGCTGTCATTCCTCCTGGATGCCTCCAGCTGGTGTAGTCCTGTCCCGGAGCATCACAGCATCACGGGACCACTGAGGTCTTAGCTGTGACTGGAGGCAAAAACAGTCCTGTCTCGACACGCCATAGCTGGCCAGTGGGCAGGAAAAGTAGGCCCTAATCACCATTTAATTATGAAATGATTCTCCCCCAAAACCATGTAGAATTGCTCCCAACACGCAGGGTCTCACTGTGTAGCCCAGGCTGGCCTTGAACTCACAGAGATCCTCCTGCCTCAGTGTCCCAAGTGCTGGGATCAGAGGTGCGAACCACCACGCCAGCCTTATTTATTTTGAGACAGAGTTATAGCTTCTATCCACAGGCTTCCCAAGAGCCCTATGCGCTCACAGAGAGGGCTTTTGGCTTCAGTCAGTAGGAAGCTGGGCACTAATGCAAAGAGGAACTAGCCGCTCACCTCCCTGGTCCTCCATCCTTGATGAAAGAATTCAGTCAAGTCACACAGGTGGCCATGCGGCAGTCTAGGTAGAATTTACTGTAAAGTAGGTACGCACAGAGTTATGATGTTTATCACCATTCCACTTAGAAGCTACTTTACCTAGGAATTGCAAAATGACTTCCTGTCCTTTTTAGATGACCTGTGTTTGTTCAAGGGCTTTACTCATGTAAGAGACTCACAAAGGATAAACTCTTAATTTAAACCAGGTCCCCACCCAAGGCAGAGAATGCTTCCCTCCCTGGTCTCAGCAAGCCTGGGCTGTGGCAGCCAGAAATGTGCTGTGCCTCGTCCCGGAGTTAGATGGCCCACGGCCAGGTACCCAAAGGGACATGCAGTGGATGACATTAAACTGTAACTGGGGGGCCAGGGATTTAGCTCAGTGGTTCCACTGCCTGACTTGCAAACACAAGGACCCGAGTTCGATCCCTGTTACAAAAAAAAAAAAAATGTCACTGTACTCTGTGGGATCACTTCGGGTTTGAGACCTAACAAATGATTATACATGTGTTCTGCGCTGATACCACTGATACCTGTTACGCTGCCCACGGGCAGGGACGCTGTTGTGTGTGGTTCCCCCCACTCCCTGCCAGCATCTAACTTCCTGCCTAACAAGTCAGGGGCTACAGCTGACTTGTTATTAGGTGGGGTGTGGTCATGGGGGTGGGGCCTGGAACCACTCATCTCCCTCTCGGCTCCTCCCTTTTCCCCCAGTGCTTCCTAGACGGCATGTGGGAAGCCATTCTCATCCACCAGGCCCCTCTGCCGTGCCACCCTGCCTGGGAGCCACCTGAGCATGGCCTGAACCCTCTACAAACTGTGAGCCAAAATAAATCACTTTAAGTTGTGGGTATCTGGTATTGTGTCTCAGCATTAAGGAAAGTGACTAAGACAGACAGGGTCTCACCAAGTTGCCCAAGCTGGGGTCATACTCTGGATCCTCCTGCCTCAGCCTCCTGAGTGCTGGGGTTACAGGCGTGCACCACCACAGCCACCCAGGAACCAAATCTCGAATACATCTGTTCTCTAGGTCTCACCTTGACAGGACTGACTGAAACCAGCCCTGCAAAAGCTCATTCTACCACCCTAGAAGTCAATCTTAAAATCAAAAGCTACACCCCTGCAGCTGAAGCAGGAGACTGAGGCGAGAAGATTGTGCATTCCAGGCCAGACTCAGCAATGTCGCAAGATTCCAGCTCAAAATGAGAAAGTAAGTCAAAAGTACGCACAGAGCAGTGGTTATAGGGTGCTGGCTTCTAAGTCAGATGCCTTGGCCTGAAATCTCAGCTGTGAGCAAAGCAGAAGCTAGAAGCATCTCACCCTCCCTCCGCCACCCTTTCCTTGTCTAAAATGGAGGCAACAAGAGAACCAGTAAGGATTAGAGGAGCCCATTGGTAGGAAGCCTTAGGTCACAGTCTGGCATGTGGTCGTTCTCAAGAGTTAGCCAGTATTAAAATAGAAGTCCTGGGGCCGGGGATTGAGCTCAGCGGTTCGGTGGCCTGCCTTGCAAGTGCAAGGACCAGAGTTCAATCCCTGGTACCAATAAATAAATAAAATAGAAGTCCTTAAAATGAGGCCCACACCCCACACTGCAGGGTTTTTGTTCGTTTTTGTTTTCTTACAGTACTTGGAATTAAACCCAGAATTTTGCACAGGCCAGGCAAGCGCTGTGGCACTGAGCTACACCCCAGCCCTTTTTGTTTCTCATAAATAAATAAAATAGAAGTCCTTAAAATGAGGCCCACACCCCACACTGCAGGGTTTTTGTTCGTTTTTGTTTTCTTACAGTACTTGGAATTAAACCCAGAATTTTGCACAGGCCAGGCAAGCGCTGTGGCACTGAGCTACACCCCAGCCCTTTTTGTTTCTCTGAGACAGTCTCACTAAATTGCCCAGGCTGGCCTTGATCTTGCAATCCTTCTGCCTCAGCCTCCTAAGCGGCTGAGATTATAGGTATGTGCCACTGTACCTGACTTCTATTTACGTTTTTGTTGCTGCTTATGTTTGTGTTTTGTTTTAAGACAGCCTCTCACCATGTAGTCTCAGCTGGGCTAGAACTCACCATGGTACCCATACTGACCTTGAAGTCACTGTCCTCCTGCCTCAGCCTCTCTGGTACTGGGATCTTAAGTGTACACCACATCTGATTGCACCGACTGTTTTTGTCTTTAAATACCTCCTGCTTCCCCATGGAGCAGTGTCACGGGTCTTGGGGTTTCTTCCCTTTTTTCCTCGCTGAGGAAAAAAAATTATGAAGCTCAAACCTTTTTTTCTTTTTTTTTTTTGGTAAAATGTTCTGAGAGCGAAAGTAATAAAATATCCACCAGGCCTATTTGAATGACGACGAGGCGGTATAATTTGCATGATAAAGATATATTTCCATTTATAAAGTTCATCAGTAGAATTAATGACAAATAAAGGGAAGATCCAATTAAAGTTCCCCATCCATTAACAACCTCACTTCACTGTCAGGGCAGGAATCTTAAAAGGGGAGGCTGAAGCTGGCCACGATTTCAGTATTAAGGTTGGTGCCATTAAAAGGACGTGACGCGATTGTGTTAGAATTCAGGGAAAAGAGACTCTGGTGATTTTTGTCAGCGAAGTCAGCTGTGTGCGCCCCCCCGCCCCCAGTTCCGCAGGCATTTTCTTGTTCACGCAAATGAGCTGTCAAGAGTTGATGGGCAGCATCATAATCAGAGAAAACAAGTTTGCCCTTTAAAGCAAAAGAGGTAATTTGGCTGAAAGCAAACTGGAAACATTTCGGAAAACGTTGCCTTTGCGGCCGCTTTCTGGAGGGCTCTGGCGTTGTGATTTATGCCCCAGAGCTCCGGGGGTAGTGGGGAAACGCAGGCGTGAAATACTTGCTTCACCTCCTTCCGGGGCCTTGGGGGAGGATCCTTCTCCCTCAGAGAGGCCACCCAAGCTCCTGAGAACTTGACCTTCAGGAAGAGCCAAAAAGGGACTCGTGACCTCACCTGAGAGCTGAGTCCCTCCTTGGCCACCACCTTCAGCTCCCGAAGGACTCCTGATTCGGGACCTATTTTAGCCTCATTCAAGTAACTGCAGCAACCGTTGTATCTGATGCAGCTGCCTTTCCTCCTGGTTCTACACACTTTGGTTTTTGTTTCTTTGACTGTTTACTTGCTTCTTTTCAGTTTTTTTGCAGTACTCCGATTTGAGCCTAGGACCTTTGCACGGTTAGGTCCACGGCCATTTCTTTAAGACAGGGTCTCACTAAGTTGCTCAGTTGCCCAGGCTGAACTCAAATTTGTGATCCTCTTTTTTTTTTTTTTTTTCTTTTAATTCCCTTCACACTATGCACTCCTTATTTTGGTGAACTGACAATAATCTTTTTGTTTTGGTTGGTTTTTGTTTTCTTAAAACAAGGCCTTGCCAGGCATGGTGGTACATGCCTGTAATCCCAGCACTCGGAGGCTGAGGCAGGAGGATCACTGTGAGTTCGAGACCAG